GGCATTCATTGCTATAAACATCACTGTCAGATCTGCTTTTGCTTCACCCCATTACCTTTGGAGTGTTGCTTCCATTATCATTTATCTACAATATTTCTTCAATTTCTCCTTTGACCCATTGGCTATTCAGTGACATATTGTTTAATCCTCACGTGTATTTTTTCTTGTAATTGGTTTTTAGTTTCATGCATTGTGGTAAGAAGAGACTTTGTTATTTCAATGTTTTAAAAGTTTACTGATTTATTTTGGGGCCTAATATATGCTCTATACTGGAGAATAGTCCATGTGCACTTGAGAATGTATTCTATTGCTTATGGATAGAATGTTTCGTATATGTTAATTCCATCTGGTTCAGTATGTTATATAAGGCTGATTTTCTATTTGGATGATCTATTTATGAGTGGTAAAGTCCCCTTACCATTATTGTATTGCTATTTCTCCCTTTTAAGTCTTTATATATCCTCTTGTTGGATTGACTCCTTTATCACTATGTAATGCCCTTCCTTGTTGCTTATGAGTCTTTTGTCTTAGTCTTTTTGTCTGATACGAATATAGGTACACCAGCTTTCCCTTTCCCCACCTCCCCACTTAAGTGGAATATTTTTTTCATCCCTTCACGTTTAGTCTGTGTGTGACCTTACAGGTGAAGTCAGTCCCTTGTAAGCAGCATAAATGTCTTAAATTTCATTCTTTTTTGGAGAATTTAGTCCTTTTACACTTGAAATAATTATTGGTACGCATGTACTTACTACCATTTTGTTCTCTATTTTGTAGTTCCTTTCTTTTCTTGCTTTCCTTTGTGAGGTATTTGCTTCAATCCTTTTCTTTGTGCATTTACTACAGGTTTCTGCTCTGGTTACCATAAAGGAAGCTCAATTTCTTATTAGGCTTTTGACTTTTAACTATGTATTTATTCTGTATGTCTCAGATGGAAGCTCACAGGAATAAAATTTTAAAATATTCCCACTGATGAAATTAAGATAATCATAAAGGAAGATTTTATCATAAAATTTGTTACGTTAGTCCATAGACCATCATGTTAATATGCACAGTGGCTTCAACATAAACATTCTTGGAGTCCAAATAGTATCCCTAAAATAAAGAATAGAGACAGTTGTTAACAGAGACATTAGATCTCTAACCCACGAGTTATGACAAGCATGGCTCCTACTAAGTAGTTATGCACAAATAGGAGTTAAAACGCAGAATCTCTTCCACAACGGTTGAGCAATACTGCGTCCTGAACTCCTCCTAGCCCCCTCCTCGGGGCGTCCCACAGCGACTCCGAGATCGGGGCATCTCGACCCTTTCTTCTGAATGATGGCCAGCATTTGTCCTGACTGATTATAGCCCAGGCCGTTATCAGTTGGAGAGACCTCTGAACACACCCTGGGTGCTAGGTGCCTACAAAGCTGGAGCTATTAGTACACATCACTTAGAAATGTGGAAGGAAAGCCTAGAGAGGTCAGTGACTTCTTGAAGGCCACATGATTAAACAACGCTGGGATGCAAGCCAGGCCTGATTTCAAATTCCATGCCTTCCCCACTTTGAATCCTTTTTCTGAGTATCTTACATAGATGTTACGTAGAAAGAGATGTTCTACGATGCAATATGAGTAACAATTTTGAACACCCAAATGACTAATATTAAGAATTAGCCATACTCATTCTTTGGATCAGGTCATTTTAGTATCTGAGTACGTATCATATACTAGAAATAAAACTTCAGTATTTTTGTGATCATGCTAATGATACTCAATCCAAACATACCACACACTCCACTAAGAACAGTGAGATGATGGTCATATTCATCTACTCTTTAGCTCAAGGCAATGGTTATGAGAGCAGCCTAAGGTCCTTTAGATGAAAATGGATCATGTATTTAAATAAAAATTTAAACTTAATTACCTGGTTTTTTAAAACCAAGGGAAGAGTCACTTGACGTCATGATTACTCCCTTGTGATCTTGGTGCTGGCCACGAGTATCTCCTCCGATTTGGAAGGCTTTTTAGAAACCAAGTTTAGAGCCTACGTATGGACAGCTGGTGACATTTCCCTCAAGTTCCAGGGCCTCCTTTTAAAAAGTTACTGACTTAATGTTTTTGACAATTTTTAAAAAAGATTTTACTTATTTTTGGAGAGGAGGGAGGGAAGGAGAGAAACACCCATCAGCTGCCTCTCACATTCCCCCACCGGGGGATCCAACCTGCAACCCAGGTACGTGCTTTGATGGGGAATCAAACCAGCAACCTTTTGGACCTCAGGCCAGCTCTCAGTAGGCTGAGCCACACCAGCCAGGGCCTGAGTTTTCCAATTTTTATTAGAGACAAACTGGTACCACTGCAGGGAGAGGAGATAGCATATACCTTCTGTGCTCATGAAAGTGGGCCAAGGATGATGAAGGTGAACCAATCTCTTAAGTTAGGTAGAGCCAGCTCGACTTGCTATGAAACACAAATGTGAGAATGGGAAGAGATTTGTGCCCCATTAAAGCCCTCTTACGTGTAACAGCCAAAGCACGGCTCACGTGACATTCCTCATCTAACAGCTGAAGAATTCTTTAGCTTTGCTTTTCATGGTGACAGTTATGTCTATTCAGCTTTGTCACCTTTGGAAAATCGAGGTCTAGTGCACTAAAGTTTCAAACTGAAAAGGCAAGGTGTCAGCACGTGGAGACCTTGCTCCAGGACTCCCGAGGCTGTGCTGCTCATGACACTACTTTCTCATTATGTGGCCTTATCCACTCGCTTCTCCTCTAAACTTTCTTCCTCTGTAAAGTTGGGGTGATACCGCCTATTCTACTTCAAATGGTGGCTATTATTAGAAGAATACGGTAGAGCTGCAGCGTCAAGTGGTCATGGTGACAATCACTTTGGTGATTATAGTTTGCAGTTTACCGCTGCCCCCAACCCCGAAGTGCTGTACCCCCTCACCTTCCATCTTCAGGTAATCATCATCGTTGGACATTTGAGTCAAGAACTGTGAAATGACTTCTTAGCTAAATTATCACAGGAAACAAAACAGACTGCACTTTATGTGCAGGTTAAAAGCAATACAATTATCATCATCCTAAAAATGATAGTAGCAGCTCATTATATATGGTAATACCACGTGCTTGGCACAGTTCTAAGTGCTCTGTGTGTGTAAACTCATTTATGCTTCACAACCACTCTCTGTTCTGTATGGTGAGTACTATTATCCTCATATTCAGAGGAGGAACATGAAACACAGGTAGTAAATGACATTTGATATTTGAACCCAAAGAATGTTTCCAAAATCTGAGTTTTTAACCAGCATATTGTATGCCTTTCTTAAAACAGTCATAGGTAATCCACATGCCCTAATACTTTAAATGAGTGAGGATTTCTCTATAAAGTTCTTTTTTGGCTCTATGTAAATTTTTGAGGTTGGTTTACACACATTGACTCAAATCTTTCCCAAACACTAAACAATCCCTGGGGAGAGGGGGAGATCCTCAAAAAAGGGGGAGGGTAAAAAGGGGGGAAGGCAAATAAATCTGTACATGTTCTAGGAAATAAAGCTAATTCAAATAGATGTTATATGAATTCTAAAACTGTTGTAGAATCCCTAAAGCCCACAACCAAGAGTTGTAATATTTAAAAACTAGCTCATAAAGCACTTTTTGAAATGCCTTCAGAACATTAAATTTTAGTATATTTGGGAGGAAATTTTATCAGGTACTGTGTAAAAATGTAAAGTGGGATTAGAGGAAGACCTGCAAATGTGACTTGAAAGGCATAAAGTTTTTTCACACACAAACAGCACTGTCATTAATTTCTAAAAGTAACAACCTGAAGGACTGGACAGTCTGCATTACCATTAAACATAGCTAGTAACATCTGATAACATTATTGTATTTAATGAGTAACAATGAACAGTAAAACACACAATATCCTCTTTAAATCTTTCACTGAAACTCTCCACCGTTTTAGCTTCATGTAATGAGGTATTTGTACAAGTATTTGTTCACATTTTATGTATCATTTAAACCTTTTAAAGGGATGACAGCCGGCGGGGGGCGGATTTTTTTTCAAACCGCCCAGTATTTACCCAACTCCTAACTTAACAAATTAGGGTGGTTTTACACTTACTTCTTCTCAAGGTGCACACATTAAAGCTATTTCACATCAGAGAAAGATTTTAAAATTATATGCAAAAACTGTGCATTTTACCTTGCACCCAGTGCTGACTCTTACAGGGAATCAGACCTGTACAACAGCCACGGGAGAAGGCCTTGCCACTGTCTTAGGCCAGAGACGTGCTTTAACTCTGAGGAGTGGATGCAGGAAACCAGAAAACAGTTTATGCTGCAGAAGATGTTAGAGCCAAAGATTGCTAGAGTGACTGAAATTATTTGGTGATAGATACCAATTTCTTATGTGAAGAGAACACTATTCAGTTTGACTCAATTAGTCACCTTGTACCTGCTGGGTTTCTGGCATATTCCCGAAATCTGTAACATTTGGAAAAACTTTAGGAGGAAGAGACAGTCTGTGAGTTGATTCATCTCCTATACACCTTTGATTCTAAATGATTACCTAAACACCCAGGCCAGGAAAGCAATTTCTTTTTATGGCTTATTTTCCTTTTTTTTCTTGTATTTTTGACTCTAGGACTCACTTTCATTCATTTGAAAATAATACAGGAAAGCAGTGATTTAGGTCTATGCTACTTATTCAAATCAAACTCTTATTAAACTCATATATCCAACATTTTAAACAAAACTGGGCATTTTCTTATAATCCAGGACTTCAAGTAAGCTACTGTAAGAACACAGTACTTTCTGATTTGGAAAGATGAAAATAACATTGAGAAACTTTCAGGGAGCATCTAAAACACTGAGTTCATGGTAACATTTCATTACCATTTATATACTGTATATATATTTTTAATAGGATTTCTTCTTAATCTGCAGATAAGCAGGTACAGCCCTGAGGCCGGGGCCCCCAACCACTGGGACGTGGACCGGTACTGGGACT